ATAAACAAATAATAATGATAAATTATAAAAATAGTCATTAGAATTTCAAACTTGTCAATAGAAATTAAATGAATTTATGCAAATAAACATTTATATTATATATATATATACACAAAAATATGTGAATAAAAAAAATTCATTTTTTATTCTCTCTTCAGTATTCGAATAGCATGAAGAAAACTATAATAGTATTCATTTGACAATAATTATCTCATTTCTACTTGATTGAAAACTCTTTCAACAACAACAACAATTCCAAATAGATTTATTCATCTTAGAAATTCTTCCATTAAAACTTAATTAGACAATAACAAAAAACGCAAAACAAAAAAAAATCGAATAAAAGACATATTTATTAAGATGTTTTACTTTTATTATTTATTATTTATATTATTTCAAATTTGTCAATAATTGATGATTATAGTCAATAAAAACTTAATGTATCGATTAGCAACGAATTTCAATTAATGATTATATATAAGTGTCTATAATGATGTCGAATATGAATTTTATCAATAAAATAATATTGAACATAGTAAATAGCTTCTAGAAAATTGTTTGTTCTCAGTTACCTATATCATATTGATTATTCTTTAACAAATATGTTTAACTAATTTAAAATTGTTCTTTATATTGATACGAAATATTGATCAAGAAGGACGTATGGTTGAAGAGAAAATGAGGATCATTAGAACTCGAATATTTTCATCAACAAGTAAATCGACATGTGTACAAGTACAACGAGCATTTTTCAACAAATGTCGTTCTACAATGGTAAACTAAATTATTTTCGAATGACTAAACGTGATCATATATATATTAACTGATTTGATGATAGTTTAATATCGAATAGTTTTCGTAGTCTCTCTGTCTCATCAATAATAAAATTGATTCTAATTCATTTATATTTTCATCAAAAAATTAATTAGTTGAAAACTAATTTTATTTTAATGAAATGTTTATTTTTCGAATTATTCTAGTCTTGATCATTTATTATTGTTCATAATATTTATCAAGCAAATATTTATTTAAATAAAGATATATCTTGTTCTATTTCCTAATGCTATTGTTCCTGGCAATTTTTCAATTATCTTTCTAAATGTGTTTAATTATTATGTCAAAAAAAAGATATGTCTTAACATAGATTCTGTTGGATATTTTTTCTGAACTATTCTCTCAATGAGAATTTCTATAAGGTTTTAAGATAAACTAAACTAAAATAAAATGAAATTGAAATAGTTCAAATAAATATAATCTTTGTAAATTTTATCTTCCTTGTTTTTTCATATACTAATATAATCAATTTTATTTAATATGAAAATCTCAATCTAGTGTATATATAGACATTTTAGAAAACAATATGCGATTCTTTTTTTTTTTGGTTTTGCTATTTATTGAACACTGGCTGTTCCGCTCGGAAGCGCTTACAACCGTTATAAAGCACAGAGAGAGAAGCAGTTCATAGCATATTACAATAAAATGAAAAGGGTATGGACACTGGTCTGAAGCTCCATATAAAATGCCATCTAACGATGAATTTAGACAATAAGGAACAGAAAAATAAACCTGCAAAGGAGAACATAAAAAGGTGAAAAGGCTTGCTCTATATTTGTATATTTCCTTTCTGACATCGCGCGACATATGTCGCATAAGAATTCTATCTTCTTCTCTATGGCATCTATAAAAATCTGTTCTTAATCTTTCTAACTACTTTCAGTTTCTCTAAAATTTCGGAGGGCAGTGAGGATCTCCATTTGTCTTTTTCATGCCAGTTTGTTAACCTGTTTTTAAGCGTTGCCAGAAATCTGATGTACATTCTATACCATTCTATTGATAGCATGCACTCTTGCTGTTTTTTCCAGTAATCTTGTAAAAGGCACAGTATTATTTCGTACTGTTTCCATTTAACTACTTCGAATTTATTGATATTTTCGAAACAAATGAACTCTGATCTATATAATATTGGTTGGTGATCGCTTGAGCCAAAGTCAAGAGTTTCACCAGTGATACCTGGAAAATTCGAGAAAGTCAAGTCTATATTTCTAGCAGATCGTTTAGATGAGTTCCTAGTACCTTGTACATAATGTAGGCTATTGTTCACACTCCATTTCTCTAATTTTTCTCCGCGTTTGTCTGTGGAGGGACTATTCCATTGACTAACACTTGCATTGAAATCACCTGCAATAATAGTATTATGGGTAATAAATTGTGAGATCTCGTTTATGTCTCGATTTTGACTTTCTGGCCAATAAATGCCACTGACTCTAAGAGGTTCGCTTAGACCAAAAATGGCGAGTATCAATGTATTGGACATGTTCGTCTCTACCTTCGCTGCCTTCAAATGTTTCCCTACACCTATAGCTACACCTCCATTTTTATTTGTTCCTTTCTCGTGAAAAATGTTGAAATCGGGTAGGCTACACTTATGTCATAGTTCTCCTACTTCAGTACATATCACAAATGCTGCTTCAACTTTATGAATGAGTTCTAATAGCTCTAAGCTCCGTGAGTTTAAACCTTGGACATTATAAAGAACGAAATTCAGAGGGCTTAGATAACTATTTCCTAACTTTGTGTTCTGATTATTATGTACTTCCCACTTAGTGAGTACACTGTCTAGGATTGTGGACGAATACCATTCCGAAAGAAGTGGCAGAATATGTTTATATTCTTTTTCTGGTATATTACATCTCTTCAGCCTCTCAATCACTTCCAGAATCGGATTAGTGACTCTATTGTGAGCATAAACAAAAGCTGCGGAATTAGGGTTCAGCATATTGCTTAATTATGTATTAGAACGTCTTCTTACTTCTACCTCGAGTTCATTTGTTATAACGATATTTTCTTCCGAAGTTACATCCTTCATGTAAAAGTCATTTTGCCATTCTTCGATCTGCCTTGATGCAATCGAGGTTATTATATCCACCTTGTCTTTGGTATTTCCATCTAGGTTTGCAATTGATTTTGCTATTGGGACGATAATATCTAGCATGATTGGTTTAATTAACTCGACGATATTAGTTAAATTTTGACGAAACTCTGCAATCATTTTTCTGTTAGATTTAAGCTCGTTTTCCATTGTTTGTATTCGATAATCTACTTGTTTTGATCTTTCTTCGAAATGTGAGCAAATTTTTTCGAATAGTTGTTGATTTGTTATGTCACTCGTCTGTTGCTGTTGAGCAGATATTGCATAAGTAGTAGACTTCCATGCAGAGTTCTGGAGAGGCTGTCGTGTTGGTGGTACGTCTAATGGCGGAAATGAGATGTTGTCCAGCGTAGTCGGGTGTTCGGACGAAGGTTTTAGTACTACAGCTGACGCAATCTTGATCAATCCGTCTTCTGAAGCTTGTTTTACAGCACGATTAAGGTTGTTTCGATGCTGTTGAATTAGGTAAAAAGCCTTTCTGCCAATTCCCCTTTCTGCCAGTGACTTTTTGCCAATTCCAAAAATTGGCAGTGCGTCACAGACTCTCTTCCAAATTCGCAAAAAATCTTTTTAATTGGCAGAGTGTCACAGGATTTTCTGCCAATTGGCAGAATTGGCTGTGACACTTCCAATTGACTTCCTACCTTAATGTAGGGAAATATTTTCAAATCAAACTTAAAGATAAGTTTTTATTCTCTTATGGTTTATAGGTTATCGCTTCTCTCGAATCTAGAATCTCTTCAAATTAGACATTATAAAAAAAAAGTACCAAAAATAGAGCGATTCAATGACTCATAGCCATTTGGAAAGAGCAAACCAATCGTATTCAATCAACTTTCCACTTTCATATTCTCCTACTATAACCGACAGACATCTTTTACATATAGAAGTAATATTAAGTTAAGTTATCCCTGAGTCCAATGGGCTATTTTTGCCAATTGGCAAAAAATCACTTTAATTGGCAGCGCGTCAGAGGCGGTTCCGTCAATTGGCAAAAAATCACCATAATTGGCAGAAAGTCAATGACTTTCTGCCAATTGGCAAAACGTCACTGGCAGAAAAGAAATTGGCAGAGTGACACAGATCCGTTGAATTACCTTGCATTCTGCATCAAGCGAGTAATGATCCTGATGACATTGAGTGCATCGATACTGCTTGGAACAAATCATATTATGCTTCTCATTGTAGTCTAATAGACATATTCTACGTTTCTGAACTGGAACTTGGCAATTGTTGCGAGTATGTGCCAGGATCGAACATTTTGTACAATATGTAAGCTTATTTGTTGGTCTGTAAGGCGTTACAATGCGCATTTAATTTCCAACACCGACGTGGCCTAAGCGAAGTAGACCATTGTATTCTTTCTGATCTGCGACCGTGAATCTAAAATCGTTAGTTGAGCGCGGATACGGGTATACGATTACACGAAAATTATTCGCCGTACTGGCTGACTTTTTTACTTCCTTGGCTACTTGCTCTGCTGTAAAATCAGTTGAAATGTAACGTACCACCAGTAAAAATTGCTCTGGTATGAATTTTGGCATGTTTACTGTTATTTGATTTCCTTGAATTTCGGATGGCCAGACTTTATGATTGCATAGCATTTTATAGTCATTTTTGTCTTTAACTCCAATTTTAAGTTAATTGCCCGCATACCGAACTACGGAAAAACTATTTCTAAGTCGCACTTGCTGTTGAGTAAAGTGATCGTAAAGATCTTCCGAGACGGCTACTGCTGACGGGAAACGATCCGAATTGTTGAAGCTAACAGTAAAACATGGTAGATTATGTACTATTGCTCGTTGAAGGTGCTCCAACGGTATATTATACTTATTTTGATTGACTTCTAATCCTTGTTTTGGTGTTGTTTGTTGATGATGATACTTTTGTCTTTTTTCTTTATTGTGTTCTTTCTTTCTTGATTTATTAGCACCTACGGTAATGAAATCATCACTGTCATTGAGTGAGCATTTGTTTGCACTAGCATTAGAGTCGGTCGGTTCATCATTACTGATTTGTGCTTCACTATTTCTTTCTTCATCCTTATTTGTTATTATCTATTCTTTTTCTGTTAGCTGTGGTGTACGGTATGTTCTGTTGTTGTTCTTGCTTGTTCTACGGAACGTGGCGTGTTATTATGAGTTCTAGTCTGCCATGTGGTAGCTTGTTTTTGCTCTGTTTGTTGTCGATCTGATGTCTTTTGTAACGGTGCTGTACTGGATTCTTTATTTGATGATTTACTTGAATTGATATTTTTTCCTCTCGCCTGTGAAGCATTGTGTTTGGTTTGATCGACATAATGTAATGTTATTGAATTAACATCGTGATGCTGATTGATATTTAACACTTGATAATGATGACTAGCGACTCCAGGATTGTAACCACTTGATACAAGAGTAAAATATTTGCCTGTATTTGGATTGAATAGAAGTTGTGTTCCATCGTTATTAACTAAAAGTTGAAATCCCTCGCTCATAATGAGCTTTAAAGGATTTGTGTTTGAAAAGGTATATAATTAAGTGGCTTAAGCCTAAGAATAAGAAAAAAGCTCCAACGAAGGAATGTGAAAAAGAATGCGTGTATACTCGGAAAGAAGCAAAAAGCGGAATGAAAAAAAACAAAACAATATGCGATGTTAGCGTTCAGATAAAGAATCGATCTATGAATATCTAATATTTTTGAAGAGAAAGACAGTCAAAAAAAAAATGAAATAAAATAAACCAACAACATAATTCTTTCGATATATTTGATGGATGATGATCATTATCGGACGAATCCAACCCAAAATCTAATATGTATGTATTATTGTTTATTTTGACAAAAGAAAAAAAGCCATACAACATTAAATATAATTATTTATCAATAGATTTTCTGGAATATTAAAATAAATTCTTTGAAAAAAATATTTATTAATTTCATTGCGATTGATTTAAATATGTTGAATAAATTCTTCTTCAATATTTTAATGAAGAATTTTTTGAATACGTTCTATTAAATCAGAAAAACGTGGTCTCAATATAACATTATATGTTAAACAAGGTCGAATAATCTGATTATATGTTTCATCAGATATATATTGATACGATCGTGGAAGATAAAAACAAATATTTACTAATTGATTTTTTAAAATATTTTTAATAGCAATATTATTCATAGAAGCAAATGGTCGTTCACCTAATGAATATATTTCCCAAAGAGTTATACCCTATTTTAAATAATAAACAGTTTAATTAGTTAAATAAAAAAATGAACGAACTAATTTAATCATACATAACTCCAAACATCTGAACGCGATGTATATTCGGAATGAAATATAGCTTCAGGTGATGTCCAACGTATAGCACATATTGTACGATAACTACCTTTATATAAACCACATTCAGTCAATCTAAAATAAAAAGAACAAAACTCATATATATTATCTATTAGAAGATATAAAAGAAAAGAAAACTTTTCGACTAAAATAAATTCTTTTGAAAATGTTGTTTGTTTTTTTTATGTATAGTCAAATTAACAAAAAACGATTTAAGGAAAAAAAGAAAATTCTTACTTTGTTAAACCAAAATCTGCCACTTTGACTGTATCATCATCTCCAATTAAACAGTTTCTAGTTGCTAAATCTCTATGAATAATAGATCGTTGTTCCAAAAAAAGCATAGCTTGAAATATTTGTTTTGCAAAAGAATTTAATTTAAATTTAACATCTTTAGAATTTAATTTAAGAAATATATTTCGAGATTTTCGAAGATAATCTAATAAAGAACCATTTTTCATAAAATCTGTAACTAAACCTAATTGTTGTTCTTTTCCAAAAAAAGTAACACCAATTATACGTAAAAGATTAATATGTTGTAAACCTGTCATTATATAAGCTTCATTAAGTAATTCATAAATATTATCATCATATTCTTCTATTGACGATTTATCACCATTTGGACGATCTTTTCGTCGGGAATTTAATGTTTTAACTGCAACATCACGAGTACCTTTGTATAATGCATGATAAACAGTACCGAAATGACCTTTACCGATTTCATGAGCATTCTATAGAAAAATAAAAATAAAACAATTTTTTTGTTATTATTCATAGGAAATAAAAAAAAACATAACTAAATAGTCACTATTTAATAAATAAATATTCTATCGGAAGTATTTTGTTTGAATAGTTTTTTTTTTTTAATAGAAATTTTTCTATATAAATAATTATTTTTGAGAATTTATCTCAATTGTCAAGTTAAAATGTCTTAAAATTTATAATATAGAATTATGATAATTGAATGATTATTTAACTATTAAGTGAAATGAGAGTTTTTTATTTTATTAAATAGTATTGATCCCGATATATTCGACAGATATATATATCTAAATAATATTCTAATAAAGAAAATGGTAAGGTTTACTTTATCTCGATAGTTAATAATAAACAATAATGAATAATCAATGGTATATTTGTTAGTTTTTTTAATTAATTATTTAAGATAAAATAATAAAAGACAAAAAATAAATTTACTTGTAAATCATATTGATTAATTAAAACAAATTGAAGATCAGCTGGAATTTTTTCTTTTTTATTATTTGAAAAAATAAATTGATTTTTATTTGTTTTTGATGGAGATTTTTCAATATATTTATTTAAAAAAATTTCATCAGATGATTGAGTTAAATCTTGTCGTTTTTCAATTATTCTATGTTGATGAAATTTGATTAATTGTTTGGCTGTAATTATATTGTTTGAATGTGATAAATGATCAGATGATTGACTTTTTTTAAGTTTTAAATTTTTTTCATCTTTACTATGATCATAATGAGATTTATCTCTAGATGAAGAATGAAATTTAACTTTTTCAATTGATAATGATTGATTTTGAATAATTAATCGAGGATTTTTAATTATTGAATTAGTAGAATTTTGACAAATTTCATTATGTTTATTTAAGTTTAGAATTTCATGAGTAGTAAAACGTGATGGATCATGACTAACAAGAACGGAACAATGATTCCATTTTGCATAAGAACGAATAACATATTCGCCATAAGATGTTTTATCATGAGAAGAAGAAAAATTATTTTCTTGTTTTGATAGTTTCGTACCCATCACGTTGACTTCGTTTTAGTAATATCAATCAATAATAATGAAGCAAAGAACGAATGTTACTTCTGTTAAATGTGACCAACCGTGACTACTAACTCATATTTAACATTAATTTGTAACACATGTCCTTGTTTTTTTTTCTTTATTGACTATATTGTCATGATCAAGCAGATCTAGTCATGAATAGAACTTTTATATATAAAAACATAATTTAACAATACTTTTTTTCTTCTCAACATATTCAATTCAATCAAGTTAATTGATAAGAATAATAATAGATTTTTATTGATATCAAATAAAAAAAAATCTTCTATTTCAATCATTTTCATTCCATTGAATATAAATATTTATAATTAAAGATTTTTTTTTTTTTTGTGTTAATATAAGCATCAGAATAAAATTAATTAATGTTTATCTAAACAAGATGATTTGCAAAGCATATATTTGTAAATTTCATATAAATAGAACGATTTTTCTTTTTTTCTTTTTATCTTTAAAAGAAAAATTTAAATAAAAAAAAAAAGAGAGCACGATTTCAAATCAGCACATATATACAATATTACGCTTACACAGGAAAAATCAAAGAAAATAACCAATCATTATATAAAACAGACTATATTTGATGTGTGTATTTTCTTGTCAGACAACATCTCATACAAACATCATTTAAGATATTTTAAGTGAAAGAATGAGGGTACTTTCAAATACGAAACTTTTATCTATTTTTTTCCTTTTGTGTAAAATAGATATTGAAAATCATTTGCTGTTAGATTTTTTTTTTGTAGAGAGGAAGAAATTTGAAATATATCTTAGACTGATAGTTTTATTGAACGCAATTGTTATATCTTTTACAAATATTTAAACAATTATGTAGAGTTCTTTGATATGAAAAGGAGTTCACTAATCTCATTTTTTCAGTGGATTTCAGACTTTATTTGTTTTTAAATTAATTTAGATTTTTCTGTAAATAACGTTCTATATTTTATTATCAAACGGAATAAATTAGCGTTCGGACAGATTTATTAGTGATAGTAAGTACTGTGATTGAGTCTTTGTACTCTCTTTTTCAACTGTTATTATGTGTATATGCTATCAATAAATAAATCTCAAAAATAACTTTTTTGGTAGACTCTTTCATCTGTATAATTATCAAAAAAGGTTTTGTATAGTAGAACTAGGCAACATTTTACTTCAGCTTCGAGTACTATGAAAATAATGATATTTGATTGAGTTAAAAATAATATATATCTCATCGGTTTTATTAGAAAATCTCTTTAAAAACTAAAATTATATTTTATCATGTTTTTTTTTCAAACAACAGTACTAACATGATACAACCAATTAGAAACAATACCTATATAACATTTTCGTTTCGAAGTGTCCGACGAAGACCAGTTTTGGTTAAAGAAAATTTTATATTTGATTATTTTGTTGATGAGAATAGTCATTGAAATAAGCGATTCGAGTTTTTCAAGTTTCATTGTGTATGATGTTTGTAAAAATGAGTGGAAAACATAATTCGAACTATTGTTTAAACGAAGAAAGCTCACAAGTGTTGACTTCAAGTTACATTCAATCATTGAAAAGTCTCTACTTATTCTAATAATGGTTTTCAATATAGTACTGAGAATTTCAAATTTAAACTAACTCGATCAAAATTCAAGATCTGTTTGAAACTATCATTATAAAACTTTTATGATTAATCCTTTTGAATAGTGAGATACTTCGTCAAGATTAAATTTACAGAGTGATATTGTCGAAAGGCGAAGATTTTGAAACAGCAACGACACTAACAAAAATTAGTACCAAAAATCTAGGAATGTATTTAAATGATTAAAAACACTAAATAGATCCATTGTGAATAGTTCTTTTTGATATTTTATGAAGAAAAAAAATATCTCAAATCAGAAATCATAGGAATAAAATCTACAGCAAGAGCCATTAGACTTTTCTTGACTTGTTTTAATCATTTCACTAGATATTATAATTAAAAAGCATAATTGTTGAAATGTTTTAGTAAATACCTAATTTTGTTCTTCTTCTGTGAACTTTTTAGAATTATCAATCCCATTAGACAAATTTTATTGATAAATATATAATTATTTTCATATAATTATTTATTTGATGAATTTTTCTCAATTTAATACAATATTTATTTTTTTTTTCATAAATAAACATATCTTTAGATTGATTTTCAAAATATTTCAGAGTTTTGGTGGTATATTATAACTACTTTTTTTCTAATTCCAAGTAACATTCGAAAAATCATGAAAGCTCTATTTAATTCTACAAATTATTATCTGACATCCGATCATATTCTCATACTAGAAAAGTCATCCAAAACAAAAAAAAAATGAATGATACTTTTGTCAAGATACGTTCAAATGCTCCGGACTTTTCATATAACTTCTCAATTGTATTTACAACTAAATCGAAATGAAACAACTAGAACTATTATTTTTGTTCATTCTTATGTATTTTTATTAAATGAAAATGATATATGCGTATAAAGATAGTCTACTATATTCGATAATAGCATTATATCATTCATCTAAAAAATGAAATTATTGTTTTTTTTTTACATAAAATATTCAATGCAACTGAAATATAAATATAATATCAATAATCAACTTGCAAAAATTCATCTAG